ATAGGCTACACATTTCCAAGTGCCCCCTACGGAATTCCGGAGTCTGATCAAGCAACCAAACATTTGCCATTATTGTGACTCAACCCTCAGAACATTCAGTGTTCACACTAGTAGTTCTAAACCTCAGACTCCCTTGACTTGTAGTTAAAGTTCCTTGATTAACTTGAGTGTCCTGGGCCAGGTTTTGTTATTTTTTGTGCAGTGGCCCCATTGGTAGCATTGTGGAAAAAGGGATTTCAGTTCCAGTAAGATTCAGGAATAGTCTGATAAAACAGTAGTGTCCATAATAGTTAATGTGGCATCAAGTGTGTACAGTCTACTGACTGCTCTGGTCAGTGATTTTTATACATTTTCTTATTAATTCATACAGAAGTCCCCCCAATAGGTAATATGATCTTTTTTTTTTTAGAGGTTTTTGCTGTAGGGTGTGTGCACTCACCTGACAGACAGAGAGAGACAGAGAGACAAAAAGTGAGAAATCACCTCCCAGGGGGATGGCCACGCCGCAATCCCTTCTCCTCCATTCTCCTCTCGGGATCTTGGGCACACACGCACACGCGCCCGGTATGAGTTTTAAGCCACTGGGTCCAGGACACGAACTGTGGTCGACTACATGGGAGTCCAGCGACATAGCCATTACGCTAACTGCTGGTCCCTTCCCTCTGTTTCTTAACAGAACACAGTGGTCATTTTACACAGGACACTTCATCGTGAGCTATCACTCCATTTCTGATGTGTGACATTACAGACCTTCTCCCACTGAATCATAGTAGTGGACTCAGTTGCACAACCAACCAAATAGGCTACACATTTCCAAGTGCCCCCTACGGAATTCCGGAGTCTGATCAAGCAACCAAACATTTGCCATTATTGTGACTCAACCCTCAGAACATTCAGTGTTCACACTAGTAGTTCTAAACCTCAGACTCCCTTGACTTGTAGTTAAAGTTCCTTGATTAACTTGAGTGTCCTGGGCCAGGTTTTGTTATTTTTTGTGCAGTGGCCCCATTGGTAGCATTGTGGAAAAAGGGATTTCAGTTCCAGTAAGATTCAGGAATAGTCTGATAAAACAGTAGTGTCCATAATAGTTAATGTGGCATCAAGTGTGTACAGTCTACTGACTGCTCTGGTCAGTGATTTTTATACATTTTCTTATTAATTCATACAGAAGTCCCCCCAATAGGTAATATGATCCCTGTGTCATAGATGGAGAGTCTAACACTCATGGCAGTTAATTTGACTAGGGAGATGCAATATATATTATGGATGAGCAGAGTTAAGCACAGGGAAGGGATAGAAGTGTTTCTGATTGTCAGAGTGTTCATTTATATACTGTTTTGTGAATAAAAGACATGATGCAAGTTAAATGGAGAAGGATTATTCTAAAGGTATGTACAACCACATAAAATGTTTATCCTTGTTACATAGAATTCTTTGTTTTAATGTTTACCAAGTAACCTTGAAGAAATCATATCACTTTGCAGATTTCAATTTCTTCAATATAAAATTAGATATTTAGACTAAAACATTTGTAAAACTTCTTAGTTTTTATCAGTTAGGAAGTAATTTGCCACTTATAAATATGACTATCTGATTGTAGAAATTTATTTTTACTGCATCCTTGAAAGCCACTAAAATGGTACTAAAAATAGGACTAAAAATGATAGAAAACCCATGCAGATCAAAAGAATAGAGTGGGACGATAGGCAACGGATATGAGTACCACGTTGGTAGGTGTGGGATAAATGGGTTGGTTGGTAATGACTCAGGAGACCAGACGAGGCAGAACCTGAGCTCTCAGGCAAAGAACAACAACCAGGAACATGCTGATTATTGTAGGAAAGCCCGGAGGAGACTCAGGAACTGTAGGCATCAGGTACTGTAAGTGGATTCAGGAGCACTGAGAACTGACGTTTGTATGAGACGCAGTTAGACCACCAGATGTTCTTCCCATCCTCATCCAGCAAAAGACAGGTTTTCTGGAGAGGTTGAGTCAGAGGAGTCTTAGGCTCTAAGGTACAAGTAGCTGTAACTGAGGACTAATACAAGATGTATTTCCTTTAAATAAAAGCAGGTGTGCTTCATGTTGGGCTTCCCAGCATTCTAGACATCAGGCTTATACCTTCTCTTAGGAGATCTAGATATTCCACTTGAGGGCAATGCCCAGCCCAAGTATAGATACTGATTTTTTTGAATAGTCCTTAATGAAAAAAATGGGGCTTTCTTTATAATGATGCCTGCTCTCCGTTAGGGCCTATTTATGAGAGCAAAACTCCAGCGGCATTTTAGAGCCTTAATCTTAAATTTTTAAGAACAAGTAGCAGAGTATTACTCGACATCTGAGGGAAGCCTGTTATGTAGAAAGGGACCAACTTAAGAATGGGGAAGAGAAAACTGTTGGAAAAACAAGATAGGGCAAGCTTCTGGGTGGGGCATGGGCCACTGGTATTCATGTTTTCAGAAAATTAAGAAATTATAATTGTTTCCACAAAACAGAAACACAATGCCTAAAGAAAAACAGAACAATTATACAAAAGTCTTATTATTTACACTAAACATTTGAAAGGAATGAGAAAATCAATAGATATATAAGAAAAATGTAGTTAAGTCTCCAGGAAAAGAAAACAGAAACAGGAATAAGAGAAACTTAAATATCCAACTCATGAGATCCAATATAGAAATAATAAAATTTCTAGAAAATGAAACAAAAAACGGGAGGAGTATGGAGAGGTTGAGGTTGATGGGTTTGGACACAGGCTTATTCTTCTTCCTACCTCATAGTAGTATTTGCCTTTTTAAACTCTGTTTTTTTTCTTTTTTTAAAGATTTTTGCTGTGCTCACCAGAGAGGCAAAGAGACAGAAAGTGAAAGACAGAAGACCCTTTAAGGGGATGGCCATGCCACAGTCCTTTCTCTTCCATCTCCTCTTAGGATTTTGGGCATGCACACTTGCCTGGCATGAGTTTTAAGCTGCCAGGTCTGGGACTGGAACCATGGTCTACTACAATAACTATTATACCATCTGCTGGTCCCTGTAACAATTAAACTTATAAAATAACTTAAATTTTAAAAAGCAAAAAAATAAGTATATGAAGAAAGCTTCAAAAAGTTTGTGGAAAATGCAAATTATTAAAAATACCTGCATAGATTGCAAAGTTTTTACACAAAAACTTGTATTTTAATTCCATTTTTTACATGAGCTTTTTGAAGTCCCTTCTTATAAGAAGACTGAAAATATATATTTGAGTTTTTGTTGAAGACCAATAAAAATGGGCAAGAAAAATACCATTTTGATTATTTTAAGTGTTAACTACTTACTTCAGGAAAATTGCTTCAATTGCCATAGTTAGATAAATTGAGCAATTTTCTCTTAAAAACAGAACTGCACAGTGGTGGCATAAATCTTGGAAGAAGTGGCTACTTCATCAGTTTGTTATCAGGAATCTTGCCAAGGAGAATAGGTTTCTCCTGGTAAACAAGGCCGATGATCTTTGTGGGAGCAAAAAGTTTTCATAATTTTTTCTTTAATCATTGAAAGGATTTTTGTTTGTTTGCTTGTTTTGTTTTGTTTTTAGTTTGCTCTAGGGCATGCGTCCTCATTAGAGACAGGAAGAGGGCAAGTGAGAATCACACACTCCTTTTCCCAGCAAGGGATAGCCATGCCTCATTCCTTCTCCATCTTACTCTCAGCATTTTGGGCTTATGTGCACACATGCCCAGTGTAATTTTCAAGCTGCTGATGTGGGGTTTGAACCACAAGTTGGCCATGTAGTATCAGCTGCCTTAACGCCCATGCCATCTGCTGGCCCAGTCACTAAAAAGGGTTTTGAAAGTTGTTTGTAATCCCTCAATATAATTAATTCATTCTAGATGGTATTTATTTAGTGTCTGTTTTCTGGCAATCATTGTCATTCTAAATGATTTATTTACATTGGCCTATTTAATACTCAGGACAGCCCTATGTAGGTCCTATGGCCATTATTTTATAGATGAGGGAACTGAGATAAAAATAGGTTTGGTCATTTGCCCGATGTTACTCACCTGGTAAATGGAAAAGCCAAGCTAAACTATGGTGGTGCAGCCTTTGAGGCCAGACTGTGAGTTCATTTCTGCTTTGCCTATTAAGCAAGGACCCGTAGACATGTAGGTTAAATAAATTGCCTACATTCCCATAGCTGGTTATTTTGGAAGAGAGAAATGGAGTTTTTTGTAAAGCTTTCATTAGCTGCCACCTTCTCAAGAACTCGTTTAGGCCTGTCCACACATCGGTTGAATAACCAAGTCTGAGTGCTGCCCCAGTAGAATTCAGGTCCTCCCTATGGCAGTCGAGTGCATTCCAGTACACCTGCTGCTGTTTCTTGTCATTTTCCTTCTGCTTTCAGTGCTGTTCATAGTTGTATTTCTTTTTTTAAAGTTTTTTGCCACAGGACACATGTGCTTTCTGGAGAGAGAGAAACAATGAGAGAGAAAGTCCTTGCTAGGTTTAGGACTTAAACAGTGGTAGGCCATTATGCCAACCACTGGTGGCCATAATTTATATTTAATGTATGTTGAAATTGACAGGATAGCAACCTAGAAATTGTGGCAAATTAACATTATTCACAAATTGTAAAATATAGCTGTTGCTAAAGTGAGTTATGTAAAGAAACATTTTTTTAAAGAATTATCTTATTTAACTTCATTTCTTTTAATTTGACCAGAGAGAGACAGAGAGAAAGAGAGCAAGCCTCCAGGTCTGGGACTTGAACCATTGTTGATCATATGGGAGTACAGTGTCCTTAACTACCATGCCACCTGCTGGTACCAAGGAGTGTATTTTTTTAATTTTATAGTTTTTAGCTCCATTTTAAGAAGTTTGTGTAAAACACAATATGATGCATATAATAGGAACTTAAGAATTTGTCATTACTCAATAATTAATCAGTATTTCCTGATATTCAAAATGAATAAATGATTTTCAGGTATGAATGTTTTAAATTTGGTTTGTTTATTTTTTCTAGTTCAACTTTGTGGGAAAACTTTTGGGTCCACGTGGCAATTCCCTCAAGCGATTACAAGAAGAAACCTTGACAAAAATGTCTATCCTTGGAAAAGGTTCCATGAGGGACAAGGCAAAGGTAATATCCATTGTAGACAATGGCTGCTGTTTCAGTCAAGTTTTATCGATAGTATACTTTTAGATCATCTACTGTATTAAGACATAGATATAAAAACTAAGGAAAGTCTCATGGAGTTATATGAAAATATTATGTAAGTTAATATATTTGTGATACTGTTTAGAAAATTCAGTAATTCTGGCCAGTATTAGAATACCTAGTATCTTAAACCTGAATCTATAAGTATTATATTCTTACACAGAACAGTGGTGCCTGTACTTTTTATTCTAGAAGTAATATGTCACGTTGTCGGAAGTGTCAGACTACTTTTATCAAGAAGAGAAATCAAAGTTACCTACGGTCTTACCATCATTGTTTGCATTTTAAATTAGTTCCTTTAGGTCTTTTTCTTTTTTTTTTACTGTGCATATATCTTACATAGAGGAATTTATAATGTATATACTTTTATTTCTTCTTTTTTGCCTTTATTTGATCTTATGTGTATTTTATCGAGTTACTAAAAATTGATTTTAAATGTTTTAATAATTGTTTACTATTCTAACATAATCGTTCCACTTTGATGTGTTCACACTAATTATCTAATTTTTTAACAGGCTAGAAGTTACGTTTATTTTTATTGACTACTTTATTACTGTACTAGTTCTGAAAGCCATTTTCACAAGTCATCGTGTATGTCACTTACATTGTTCTCCCTGTTCTCTCGTTGTTAACAAGGTCTGTATTACTGAGGACCAAATCCACAGTCAACAGTCACTTCCCATGAAATGTTAAACATGACAATTTTAGATGTGACAGTTATTCAGACAAATATCCTGCCACCCCACAAAATTGCCCAACTGAATGATGGCTTTTATAATACAAATAAAATAAAAATGATATAGGGACAAGAAGTTGGTGTAATGGCTACGTTGTTGGACTCCTATGTGGTCGACTGCGGTTTGAGTTCCGGACCCAGTGGCTTAAACTCATGCAGGGCATGCGTGTATGTGCCCAAGATCCCAAGAGGAGAATGGAGGAGAAGGGATTGTGTGATTTCTCACTTTCTGTCTCTCTGTCTATCTCTGTCTTTCTGGTGAGTGCACACGCCCTGTGGCAAAAACCTCACCAAAAAAAAAAGAAAAAATAATAATACAAAAATTACCAAAAAAAAAAAATCCTGTTTATTGAACAGTCACTGTGTAAGACTTTTAAAATGAATTATTCCATGTTATTCTTGGAAAAGTGATGAGAGATAATATTTTTCACATAGGACAACTGTGAATCAGAGAACTTTATTATATGGGCATATCAATCAAAGAAATTCATTGTATTGTTTGGTTAACACAGTTAATGAAACCATGGTTTACTGACACCAGCATCCATGTATGTTCTCCACTAGAGCAGTAGAAGACATGGTATACATCAGGATCATCTGGAGTACAGATTTCCCGTGCACTAATTTATTTAGGCTAGAACCTCAGAATGAATTCTCACTCGTTTGAAATGATTCAGATGCACAGTCAGATTTTGCTAATACTCACTAAGCCTCCCTGTATCATTTTCTTGACACAGCTTTTCCTGAGGTAGGAGAAAATGGAATTACATTTTGGTCAGTTGGTTGGAACTCATGTGTGTCTTATCGGAAGGTATTTCACCCTTCCTGACATTGTGATTCAGCCCTTAGTAAGGCCATTTGGTTTCAGGGTACGTGATAGGAGCAGTGGACTCATCACAGGAATCCATTGTCTTCCTGTTTCTCATTTTGTTTGTTGGTCAGCTAGTTAAGAAGCAGTTTGATGGCATAGAGTGGCTGTGACCAGGCCATGCACTAATACTCCTTAAAAGTAAAAGAGAAGTGAGGAAGGCAAATTTCCTTTTTTTAAAAAAATTATATTTTTGCCATAGGGTGTGTGTGGCTGCTGGAGAGAGACAAAGAGGGAAAGTGAAAAATCACCCCCCTCCCCCAGGTGTGGTAGCCGTGCCACAGTTCGTTCTTCTCTGTTCTCTCGGGATTTTGGACACGCGTACCCACGTATCCAGCATGTTTTTCAAGCTGCTGGTTCTGAGACTCAAACTGTAGAGTTGGTCATGTGGGATCCAGCACCTTAACCACCATGCTGCCTGCTGGTCCCAGAAGGCAAGTCTTTAACTCTGTCGCATGTCCTAGTAACAGCAAGTACCTGGCGATCCATATAATGAAAGGGATCCTAGGTGCTTCCAGCTTGCTGACGGTCGTGGTGTTCCTTTCAAACTGTGTCATTGTACCAAGGACTTCTGGTTGTTTTGGACTTTGGGCATGTTGGATATTCAGAATTGCAGTCTTCCTTTTTCGGGGTTTTCGAGTTAGGTTGTAACTATTTTCTGCACTGGGATCACTTTTGTGAGCACCTTGATTAGCACTGAGGTGGCTACAGAATGAGGTACTTTTAACATGCACTGCAGCGGGTCCCCTTGACTGCCTGTGCACTGAGTGCCTGCTCTGCATTTGCGTGGGGCACGCTGTTTTTACACACATGGGCCTCTTTTCTAGACTACTTATCAAGTCAATGATGCTCTCATTTCTGTGTTTTGACCGCATGAGTCAACTAATCAATATAGAGATTCTGCAAGTGGCTAGTCATTTATAGTCCATCAAGATACCCGGGAACTAGGGAACTAGCGCACATTGTGCATGCATGGTCCACTGAGTCCACTGTCAGTGGACCAGGGCCATAAGTCCAGTTATCTTTGACATCTGATGGGTGGCCCTCAGCGGGGCAGCAGTGGTTTAGATGTCGTTGTCCCTTCTCAAACTGTCTTGATATTTGTCCTCCTCATTGTGTCTCTCCAGTGAGAGGATCCACATCCTCATGGGAAAGCAGAGGAGGAAGTGACACACACAAGGTGGAGATGCGATACTGGCCGTATGCATGTAACCTTAACCTCACTGCATCCAACTTAGCCCTCTTGTTCTCTGCCTTCCTGGGGTAGCAGTAATGAAGAAGAGTAGGCAGAGTGAAGAGAGAATTGTCAGCTCCTTTCAGGGGACTACCTTTGCTAATTAGGCAACACAGGGAAAACCTCACCAGAGAGGCTTCTACAGTGGGGATAACTCAGTGGGGCTGCAGGTTACTGATACTCAGAGTTGTTTGAATCTTCCCAGATACGGCAGTCTGGTTGTCAGGTTCTCCCAGTCAGTCAGATATCATCTGGGTCTCATGTCAGAGTCACCTGGGATCAGCATTGTTGTTCAGCAGTGCGTGAGCTTGAGCTCTGAGTTGTTCGATAGGTCCTTCAACTCAAGACTGCTGCGGTGAACCTTCCGGGAGCTTACGGCTCTTCGAGCCTTGAACTGATAGCATAGAGCCCAGGGTCTCTTATTTCCTTCCTTACACTGAATACATGAGAAACAGTCCATCTCACTCAACGCCAGAAGCCTGTCTTCCTCTGAGCTGTCATGCTGTGCATTTCCTTCTGCTGCCTGGTTCTTCAGTTTCACCTTTACGAGCATTTCTCTGGGGGTGACTAGAGGTGATAATTTAAGTAACAGATTTGTTACATTATACTATCAGAATCCCCCTGTGATGGTGTACAGCGAGGATCTGGAGCCTCACTGCCTGAACTTTTGAATGTTGATTTCCGTTGATCCTTTTATAACTGGCTTAATTTTAGTCTACAGAGAGTCTAGTTAATATGCCTGTTTCTAAAACGACTCCCATTATTTAGTATTGGAATCTCATTCTGTAAGGATCTCATCCTTTTAGATTCACATAGTGCTCACTGTACTTGAAGTCTAATGTGAAGGTACTTCCTTTTTTTGTTTGCTGCGTTGGTAAGATTATGGGAGTCATTGCTGACTTCTGTCAGCTGGCTGTGCAGTGCAGTAATCCCAGTGACAGGTAGTCTGCTGAGCCTTCAGGTCATGCTGAGTGTGTCCCGTGCACATTGTCTGTACTTACGTAACAGTCAATATCATACGGATTGTTCATCAAGTGCTTACTATGTGCTGGGCATAATTTGAAGGACTTTTTAATGTGCTTACTTATTATTGTAATTACTCTATAAAATAGGCACTATACTTTCATTAGCCCTGTTAAAATCACTATTGGATGCGGGTAAAGTAACCCGCCCTGCATTGTGCAGTGTAGGTTGGATTTGAGGTTTGAATGCAGACATTCTAGATCCTTACTCTTCCCCGACACCGCATTGCCTCTCGTCCTGAGCCCACGGAATACTCTGGTGACAAGTTCTCACTCTGTAGAGCTGCACAGTGGCTGAGGTTATGATGCGAAATGCTCCCCGTTCCAGCTTAAATTTGTGGTAAAAATAAAAATGCTTGAATAAGAACCAACAGTTATAAGTTTTCATTAAAATCATTTGAGTGCCATATTAGAAACAGATGAGAAATGGTTGTTTTAGAAGTGGTTCAGAATGATCTGCTGTGCAGGGAATGCAGTTCTGAAATTTCAGTTTTTTTTTTTTTTTTTTTTT